TTACCTCAGGCATATCTTCAAAATTGCTTCACATGTTCTTTTTAAAATCTTTCTCATACAAAAAAAAATTGAAGCCCAGTCATTGTATAGTGTAATTAACTAATGATAGCTGAAAATATTATTCTTGTTAGGAAAAAAATAGAGTTCAGTAACAATCATGTCCTTTAGCTAAGGGAAGGGCACTCCTCAGGGTGGACTCCCAGGCTGTGGTGAGCTGGTAGAAGGTGCTAGAACACAGCTCAGAGCCTCGGACAACACTGTGGCAATTGCCACTCAAGCAGTCCTCAGTGGAAGCTGACACAGGTGCAGGGCTGAAGGGAGATGAGCCTTGGGCTACATGTCCACCAGGTGCTGTAACAGTTACATCCAAGGCTACTTTTATACCTGTCATCACAGAACACGCAGAAAACTGGCAGAAAGGACAGACCCTCTGTGCAGGAAGGAAAGGCACATGTTAAGTCACAGGGCTGACAGCCTCACGGCAGACTGTGGAGAGATTTCAGATTTAGCTGTGGGTGCTGCATTTCAAGAGGGCTGCTAGGACGGTGTTGTCATCCTGAATAGAACAATATGAGTGCCCAAGAGGCACTTGGAGCTGTGGAGGGAAATATGAACCCTGGGTGGCCACATAGCAGCCCATTCCACATACTGAGTAGTTAGTTTTCTTTCCCAGAGTGTATGTATGTATCCTACTTCTCTAAGGCTCCAAGAAAGGAGCAGGTGAGAATTCAAAGGACACTGAGTTTGACAGAATAACAAAATTCATGTCATTAGAATGTGTGCTCTGTTCCTGAAGTGATCAACAGGATGGCTGCCACTTTGGTTGGGACAAAAAAAAAAAAATATTCTCAAAAATCTGATTGGCTTTAGACTGACTGAATTTTTTAAAACTTCTTAAAATTTTTGTACCTGTAAATAATTAATGTTTTTTTATTACAAACAAATTTATATCACACTTATGAAACTAAAACAATACCCAACTAGGTTCATCTGCTCTCACAGATGTTGATAATTTAACCAACTCATTTTTGTTTTGTGCTTCCCATTTGATTTTTCATGGATGGTTTTTAAGGACCCCAGTCTCTCCAAGAGTTATGGTTTTATAGGCTGTGGATTTTCAGATAGAGGGTGAACATTCCTGACCTGGACATCTAATAAGAAGACCATTCCAAAATCCCAAATGCTTAGGGACTGACATGATGTCTAACAAGTTTTTGATTTTAAAGCATTTCAAGTTTGGGACTTTTGGATTAGAGGGCACACAGTCAGTTAACCTTTATAAGATGGGTAGTCTCATGAGGTTATATACTTCCCATCACTAGAGTCATGAGCTACAGGGTGGCTGAAAAACAAATAAACAAAACTCTAAAATGTAGAGAACTCCAAACTCTGAAACCCATCTGGTCCCTGGAGATTAGAGTAAGGGACGGCTAATCTGTGAAAGAATTTTTACAAAAGCTGAACCTTGCTGATAGTGATGTCTACTGCACAAAAGAAACCAAGCTTGTTGGGGCATCTGGCCACATCGTCTCCCAACCTCCTCTGCTGCTGTTCTTTAGTTTGATAACTATTCAGCAGCCACACTGGTTTTCTTTACTTCATTATAATTGCTAAGTTTGTTCCTGGATCAAGGAAGTGGGCACCTTTTTTTTTTTAAATCATTTTTTAAATTTGAATTAGAAACAAGATCGATTTACATGACAATCCCAGTTCCCTTCTCCCTCC